ATTTAATCATCGAGGCACGCCATGCTAGCCTTGATGTTGAAAAGGATAACATTGAAAATCTATGTTATGACATTGAAAGGTTGCGTGAACAATTTGATAAGATTTTAACTGAGTCAAAATTTGTTGCAAAAAAAAATTGGTGTGTGAATTTTTTACTAATCGTTATTTCCCAATTCAAGATGATGTCGAGCTGTATTTTAAAATCATTGTATATTTTATCATCACTGACTCGATTCAATGTGGCCTTACGCGACGATTTCAGTCGTTACGAGAAATTTGTAAACTTTTTGGATTTCTATAGCAGTTTGAATGACAAAGATCTTGTATTGGCTGCTCAATATTTTCAGACAAAAAAATCTCACAAGAGATTTTTTTGTCTTAAAATATTGAGCAGCCAATACAAGAGCTTTGATCTCAGCCAATACAAGATCTTTGACTCTCAGCTTCTTGCACGTTCTGGTGATGAAGAGGACTTACAAGCTTGTAAGTCCTCTTCATCACCAGAACGTGCAAGAAGCTGAGAGTCAAGCTGCTAATTTTTGCTTGAAATTCATCACAGGCAGAACAGGTGTCAGACCTAGGGTACCCGAATGAAATAACAAAGTTCTCGTTGAATATGGTTCTATAAGACTCATATGAAAGGTTAACACTAGGATGCTGCTCACAGAAAAGATTAAACATTTTCGTAATGTTGAGTGTTTCTGGCAGGTAGAGGCGACTAGACTTTTTGAGTGAGTAGTGAAATGAACGCCCCTTGAAAGAGCTAATATGAGTAATCACAAGCTCTCTCTTTTATCTGCTGTCAACTTTTGGGCATGGTTGCTGTGCTTCCTACGTTTGTCTTTTGGTGGAAATCCTATAAGAAACACACAGGACCTTAATTGTGAGACTACAGACAAAAATTTTAGAACAACAACAACAGTAAAACTACAAAAAGCACTAACAATAGCATACTACTATTTTGGGTTGTGAGGATCAGCTGATAGCATTACTAACTTTCGCTAACCTATTACAAATAGTTAGAGATTAGCGTAAGTGCTAACAGAAATTTATTAGGGATTAGCAAAACTCCACTAAAAGTTTCCAAACTATTTTGTGCTTTATTTTTATCTCGCGGTGCCTAGATACACCATCGAGTTGTGTAAACATAGGCTAACATAGGCCTGTCAGTATCATATACTACTAACACTACTACTACTACTACTACTACTACTACTACTACTACTACTACTACTACTACTACTACTACTACTACTACTTCTACTACTACTACTACTACTACTACTACTACTACTACTACTACTACTACTACTACTACTACTACTACTACTACTACTACTTTTACTAGTAATAATAATAATAATAAACATGATTATTATCACAATGAGAAAAACAACAATATAAATGACAATATAATAATAATAATAATAATAATAATGATAATAATAATAGCAATAATAATGATAGTAATAATAGCAATAATAATAATAAAAATAATAATAATCTAGATTGCTTACTAGTTTCTTTCAGTGCTGTCTGTATTGTCCTAACTCGCTTGTGACTGATTCCAAAAATGGATTTAAATCTCTTGACACAGACATCTACTTCTTTAACTTTGTCATCCCGTTGAACCTTGATCATATAACTGTAGGAATTTTTTTTTGGTTTTGGATCTGTGCCATCTTTTTTTGGTCTTCTTCTTTTAACATTTAGCACATCAATTTGTGCAGACAGAAAGGCGTCTTGATCATCTTTGTTTTGAAGGTCATTAAAAGCAGTAATGAGAAGGTCTCTCTCTTCTCTTGTTGTGGCCTCAAAACATTTCAATCGTTTGCATTTACAGTCTTCGCCTGTTTGATAATTTGAATTATGTACTTTCTTTAACTAATCTTTTTTCTGCCAGATGATCGACGCTTTTTTGGCTTATTTGTAACGCATAAAGTGTCTTAATCCGCAAATTTGAGTAATAGAGCTTTGTTGATAAAATGAAGGTTGTGGATTGGCTGAAACTAGTCACATAACCTTTCAAGGAATTGTTGTTTGTGACATAGGTCTTCTTTCCCCTTTACATTCTCGACTTGTGCCATTTTTCCCCTGCATGCCATTTCTTTGGGTCTTTCTAGAGCATTACATAGGTCTCTTTTGGGTTTCATTTTACTATTCTGCTTATCTTCAGGCTTATGTTTATATAGTAGGGGACATACTCAAAAAATTGGAAAATGTGACATGTGTCTTTTTTCCCCAGTGGTCTTTATATGTGTGTGTATATATTTATATATATATATATATATATATATATATATATATATATATATATATATATATATATATATAAATGTATAGTAAATATATATAATATATATATTTGTTATAGTATATTTAAAAATATATATATATATATATATATATATATATATATATATATATATATATATATATATATATATATATATATATATATATACATACATATGTATAGTAAATATGTATATATATGTATAGTAATATATATATATATATATATATATATATATATATATATATATATATATATATATATATATATATATATATATATATAATATAATATATATTATTATAATATAATATAATATAATATAATATATATATATATATATATATATATATATATATATATATATTTATATATATATATATATATATATATATATATATATATATATATATATATATATATATATATATATATTATTTATTTTTTGATCTTTTTTGATCTTCTTACAGATAAAAGGTATTAGAATAGAGATTAATAGATATTGAATCGATTTTGTCGTCAGAACCTTAATAAGTTCAACCAAGCATATTACAAAATCAGCAACAATAGTTTTAAAGTTTTACGAATTTCCAAAGTATATTTTGTATAATCAAAAGGGAGTTCTCCGGATGTTTTTACCAATATTTTATATAAACGTGTACGTACCAAATTATAATAAAATGTTAAGTAAAAAATACAAAAATCAACAAAATAATTAAAAGTAAACCTTTTATAAATGCCAATAAGTAAAGTTAAAGTTAATTATTTATATTAATAATAATAACAAAATGTCATCAATTGAAAAAGTTAGGGCTTTTAACTTTCTTTCAAAAACGTGAAAAGTAATGGCTAGTTCAAAATCAAAATTCGGCAAAACAATTTTATTCCAATGGTGTAATGCCTAATAGACATTACAAAATTGATTAAACTTTGTTTAACAAAAAATTGGTATTTCTCTTGAGTCTTATCCACATGTTATATCCACATTGAAAGACAAGTATTACAAACATTAACGCATAGATTTTGGCTAAGCGTTATCTGGGATGAGTTGCCGTTTCTGTTGTGTTTTTTGAAAGTAAAATTTTTGTCCCCAGAACCCTAAAAATTTTTGTGAATGCTATAATACGTTCATTAAAAGACAAATGTATTTTGAACGTTCAAAAAACGTTCTGAACTTCTTTTGAACGTTTAAAAAAGTTCTAAACGTCTTTTGACCGTTTAAAAGGTGTCTCTTCTATATCAATTTTGTATAACTGTTTAGTATAACTATTTAAACTTCTCTGCAACGAATATAGAATGTCCTAAATTCGTCCTTTTTTCTCATAATAAATATGTACTGCGCATACATTTAATATTAGAAAACGTTTAAAAAAGTGAAGGCATAATACATGTGTTAAGTACTTTGCATGGGATTCTTTAGGATCTGCTTGTGAGGTTGGGTTTTTTTTAGAAACTTTAGTATTCAACTATCCCTAACAGTTCTCAATAGACTTTAAATTTGTTGAATTGCTAGGCCATACAACAACAACATTCTTGCCATTTGCGGCCGTGGCGCAGTGGTTAGAGCCCTTGCTTTATATGCAGGAGATCCAGGTTCGAAACGAGCCTTGGACATATTTCGCGTCACGGTAAGGAAGGAGGCGTGAACTTTCTGGTTAAATGCACTTCCGCGATGCTCTGTGACAAGACCATAAGGACTTCTTGGGGCACCTAAATAACAAAAAAAAAAAAAAAAAATTGTTACCCAGCGGCAACTTTCCCCACTGTGCATGAAAATATATAAATTGCACAAATTGATAATCATTTAGACACATTTTTTTTTAAAGTTTTAAAGGAATTTGCAGAATTGACAGCTTGACTTGGTTTTAAAAAGTCTGTGCAAGCAAGAATGAAATCGAAATGTGAGGTTTGTTTTTTTTAACACAACACGGTTTCATGTTTTAACAGTCTAGTTCATTTGTTCACTGCAAAATTTGAGAAATCACAAACTTTTTTGAGAAAGACAAGGCATTAATGTAGCATAACATGATAGAGATTCAATACCTTGGTGAGACTAATTTGAAAAATGCCTGCGCTTACTTTTACGCTTTGAGGCACTTAAATAAAAGCATTTGTATATCCTTCACAGCCATTCGGGGATGAAGGACATGTAAATAACTACAACACATTTAAAATATTTGGTTGTAGCCATTCTGGAAGATAATAATCCATAAAATTTGCATAATTTAAAAAAGCTCATAAATTATTTTCCTATTGCTTGCTAGCTACGCAATCACCGAAAATGCATTTTTGTTTAGTGCGTTGGCAGCATGAATTTGCATTTATTAATAATTAACTATACTAAACTTTGCATTTATTAGTAATTTACTATAGCAATTATGAACTGTCGGATCTTTTAAACCATAGCTATATTATAGCCCTTTATTATAGGCCGAGCGAATAAAAAAAAAACGTAAAATAAAATAATAAAATATATAAAATAAAAAAGAGCAAAATATATAATATAAAAAAGAATATATATATTAAAATAGATTGTATTAAAGTAGATTATATTAAAATAGAACAAGTAAAATAAAAAAGAACAAATTTAAAATAGATAAATTTATATCAATAGATTAGTTTGACAATAGTGGAAATACCATCAGAGATTAAAACTCAAACAATGTTTTTATGTTAAGCGATGTGTATGTATAATCATTTATTAAATACTTTATTGCATTTTTGATCAGTTTTTTCTTTTTTATTATTATTATTATTATTTAAAAAGGAATCAAAACATTCTAAAGTATACTAATATACGTATGTTAACTTAATACTTATATACTCAATGTTAACTTAAAATTTTTTAAACAAGAAATATGAAGTACCTGATTGGCTTCTACTTTACTTTCTCATTTGTATTTTTAACAGGTATTCTTTTTATATAGTAATTAATGAATATATATCTGGTTTTTTATTAAAAAAAAAAAAGAAGTTTACGATTATATTCATTTTTGTTTATTTTTCTTAGTTTTATAGATATTCGTGGCAAACTATTCACTAGAACTAAAGGAGCGCAATAAAATTAAAAACAAATCCATATAATTTAAAATCTTGTTCATAATCAAATAAATTAAAATATGGATTAATAAAATTATAATTTGCCATGATGATTTACGTTAATAAAGTTCAAACATTAACTTTAAAGTTTTACTCATGCAATTTAAATAAAAAAAAGTTAAAGGAATTTATGTTTTAATTAAGTCAGTTTAAACTTGTATAGCAGAATCTTGTAAAGCTTTTTTAAGACTTAAGTTATAAAAAAATGTAAGACTTAACATTTTTAAAAGTACTTAATGATTACAATTCTTGCAGATAAGTCTGCATACAAATAACTTTGAGTAACAAAATTAGTTGTGGTAAATATTTGCAATCAAAACATTTATGATGGTTTTATCTTCATATCAATAATTTTTAGTAAACAGTATGAATTTATTCGTTTAAAAATCTTCCTATGGCAATTCTTCCGGTGTATATCGAAACTTAATAGTTTTATTAAGACTTCCCTCCTCTCTTTCATTTTTTCACGCACTTTTGAAATTAGCAGGTACTTTATTTTAAGAAAATTTTTTCACGATTAAGTTCAAGAGCTCTTACCAATATTTTAAAACGCGAAACAAAAATATTTATTTACTTATATGTATACATTTCGTATAAACATAAGTAAGTACAAATTGTTATTTTTGTTCAATTTTTATTTTTTAATACGTCATCGGGCAATAATATTTCAAAAAACCAGTGACTAATGATACTGCCGTACCGCGGCAAAAGAAACCAAGTTCACTTTTGGCCTACAATAGTTTTATTATTATTGTATTGTTATAATTTGTCTATTGAAATGTTGGAAGAAAGTCCTGAAACGTGGTTCCTACAAACTTGTTTTACTTTGCACTGCTTATATAACCCATATAGTTTATGTAACCCATATAGTTTATATAACCCATATAATTTAGATAACCCATAGTGTATGTTACCTTTAGCAAAAGGAATCATGCCTCAGCCCTAATAGAAAAATAGATTACATTTAAGATTTTTATAAAACCATGTTTAGATGACTTACAACCTTTTGTCTTGCTGGGCTAGAATACGAGTTTGTTTCAAACCAACCACCTTATTTACTTTTTATTTACAGGATATTTAAAAAGGGCTTAATAAAAGGTAAAAAATATTGACACCACAGACTTTAAGTAAAAAATAAAGTTATAAATAAACTTAAAAATAAAGTTAAAAAATAAACTCTTAAATATACTTTTTAGATTTACTTTATTTAAAACAAATAATTCCACAATTTCACCCTTTTTTCAATATACAAGAATTACGCAAATTGTTATAGCTTTACTTCATGTAACATATAAAGTAATGTGAAAATGTTTAATTAATATAAACAATGCTAATATTGGCCTCTGTTACAATATCAAGGTTTGTTTAAGCATATTTGTATCCATTTTGATAATAGAAAAAAAATCTAAAACTCTTACTTAAATAAAAATGTTTTACTTTTACTTCTTTACAAGCTATCAAATTCTCATTTTTTAAAATTTTTTTATATTGAAAAAATATCAGAGTTAACAAAATAAAGGTTTTGTTTAATTGTTGAAGGACAACGGTTACATTAAACTGTTTTTTACTCTAGGTTTTTGCTTTCTTTTAATACAGAAAGATTTTTTTATTCTTCTATCTCTCATTTCATACATCAAGTCATTGGTATATTTTACTACAGAAAATTGTACATACATTTACTGACAAGTTTGGAGCTATATATGCACAATTACAGAACTGGAGTTAAGTAAGACCGAAAGGACTTTAAGAATAAAATTATATATATATATATATATATATATATATATATATATATATATATATATATATATATATATATATATATATATGTATATATATATATATATATATATATATATATATATATATATATATGTATATATATATATATATATATATATATATATATATATATATATATATATATATATATATATATATATATATATATATATATATATATATATATATATATATATATATATGTATATATATATTTATTCATATATATATATATATAAATATATATATATATATATATATATATATATATATATATAAATGTATATACATATATATATATATATATATATATATATATATATATATATATATATATATATATATATATACATATATATATATATATATATATATATATATATATATATATTGCAAATATTAACATAACTTCTACAATATATATATATATATATATATATATATATATATATATATATATATATATATATATATATATATATATATATATATATGTATATACATATATACATGTATATATATATATATATATATATATATATATATATATACACAAATATATATATATATATATATATACACAAATATATATATATATATATTCACAAATATATATATATATATATATATATATATATATATATACATATATAAATACATTAAATTGAAATTGAAAAACTCGAGAAAAATATCAAAATTTAAAATGCACTTGATCATTTAGTAGATCAGTTGCCAAATGGATTAAAATATTATATAAACATATCCAATATTTATATATAGGCATACATGTTCTTGGTAGGAAAAAAATAAGGAATGAAAAGTGATCTAATTTAAAAATGAAAAAAAGACCTAAGCTACTAAACTAAATTGCATGCCTATGTCTCTAAAACATGCCTATGTCTCCAAGAAAGAGGATGTCCCAACTTACACCTCGCCTTTTTTACGATTCTGCCACATCAATTTCGGTTTCTAAATAGGCATTGATTAAATAAAATGACGAAATGTATTATTTAATGTGCATTTAGCAATAACTTTAAAAAGCCGCAATTCAATATTATGACATTTCTTTATTCACTTAATATTTACAAACCAGGGTTGTCAGGTTTTTTTCGGGCACAAGCCAAAAACGAAACAAAAATAAACCAGAAATAAACCAAACCCAAAAAAAAAGAAAGAAATTATCATTTTTTGTTTAAAAACCTTACTTATAATTTATATTTAGAAGAAAATGTTTTTTTATCCAAAGATTCATGCTTAAAAATTAAAACTTAACTTGTTAGAGAGGTCACTTGTAAGAGAGGTCAGAGAAGAAGAACAAGTATGTGAATATTAAATGAGGTGCCAGTCCAGCCTTTAAAGCTGCGTAGAGAATGTAGTTCACTCCCAAACACCTATACTAAATCCGACACTATCAACCTGTATAATATATATATTTTTTGCTTGCATATACTTTTCCAATCTTTGCGATAATTGGCTCAATTATTTTAAAGTTCTTGTAAAAAATATTTAGCCTGATTAAATATGATTTGATCCAAATGACTGCATGCAAGACTTGGTTTAAGATTTTTTTTGTCTGATTTTTATGCAGATGACCCGTGAGAAGACTCAACAAAATAGAAACGAAACATATAAACAGCCAAGGCATCTATGTTGCAGAGGTCTAAGTCTCCGGAAACTTTTAAATGGTCTCACAAAGCAGTTTAGAATTCAGTGTTTTTAAAAACTCATTTTTATTACAAGTTTTTAGAATCACTATAATGATGCTATGTCAATTAATTTATGATTAATGACGGTTTCTGTAACGATTTTCAATTTTTTCACTTTTTGCACCCATAAGATATAACAGTAGATGTGAAAAGGCCTTTTTAACTTGGGAAACAACATTTATTACAGGTAGATTTTTTCTCAAAAAAAGTCATGTATTTTTAAAACCAGATTTGAGAAATCTGGCTTTAAAAACACCCGGTGGCAACCCTGTTACGAACTCGAAGTTTCATATTGGCGAAACCCGTGGTTTTTTAATATATCGAGGGGTTGGAGCCACAGCAGCGTATGTACACTTTCAGCAATTTGAGAAAAAGCGATTTGAAATCTTACATAATACATCACAAGTCAAATTTGTCACTTAATTTTTTGTTACATAATAATATTAAGTCATGAAACCGTAAAATTTTATAAAGAAAAATTTTATGATTTTAAATGTTTTTTGCATTTAAAATAAAAGATTTGCATGATTGAAGCTTTAAAATCACTTTTTCTCAAAATGTTGAAAAGTGTACGTACTTCGTTCTGGCAAATACTTCTTTGCTGCAAACATGGCTTATAAGTATCTAATAGTCGGGTACGTGTATTTGGAAAAATATATAAGAAAATAAACTGCTAATTGAGGGGTGGAGCTTATATATAATGTATTAAGATTTGGAGGCCTTACCTGCTAATCATAAGCACAAACAAAAGTTCATTATTTTGCTTTTGCTAACATTTAAGTTGTGAGATATTCTTTCTTTGGAAATGTTGTTTTAGTTTTTAAATCGTTTTCTTTAAATTATTTAAGTATTTATACATCTAGATGCATATACAGACCGTAGCTAGGCTACTACATACACCTAAATCGGAGGGTGGGGAACGAACGAATTTAAGAAGTTTTTTAATAATGCCAAATAGAAAATCTTTTATGATTTTTAGTGCTCTAATGACAGGTTATTTTCAAAAAGAAAGGGCTTGGACACGATACTGTTTGTATACAACATTTTGAATGTTGTATATGAACAGCTAATATCTAATCTGTGAGGGTAAGAAAAAGACATCAACAATTGAAATAACAGGGGTAAAGTAACAGGTTGAAGTAACAGGGCTTTATGTATCGCCCATAACTCAAAAACTATTTTACACCAATTATGTTTTTAATACGTGTGTTGCTATGAAAATAGCCGTTTTTAATTTCTTTCTTGAGGAGACTTTTTTTGTTCTATATATTTTATACTTTGTAAAACCAGGTCAATAGAAATTTTTTAAATGATAAATTGATA